AATGTAGTGTGGACATGTACGTGCCAAATTCCAGCGAATCAATGACATTTCTTGTAAAAACATTAGTACTATAATGATCACGCGCACACACAAAATTACTATAATGATTACATATTAGTACTATAATGATCACACATTTGTATTCCGCATCAAGCAATATCTACACATCACGCTATGAACTGTCAAATGTCAAAGGAATGATGCAGCTTAAGGTGGATTTTGAATGGGAAATTTAATCCCCAATATGATTACCCAATTGCAAAATTTTCACAAAATTTATCCGGATGTTTTGCTGAGTTTGGAATGCTCTCGTGAACGGATGATATTCGTTTGCATATTTCATTAGCGTGGAATGACAAAAGTAATTGCGCATGGAATGACTTCTCTCAATATTTCATATGGTTCTGGTACACACCATGCAATATATCAGGCATGCTAGCTGGCGAACATGGAAAGGAATCTTCGAACCATAAATAATCACATCGTTGCCGATCGAAAATTTCTGAGCCGAATCCTCATCAGCATTGGATATGTGCTTGATGGAATTTTTTTTGTCGCGAAACATCTTCACGACTCTAATAGAAAATTCCCTATTAGGCGCAAAAGAAATGGAAATATATTTTCGTTGACTCGCACAGAACTCATTACTGGATTCGACGAAATGCAATAATCAATCGTTCAATTGCTCATTGTCACAAAATTTTTGCGTGAATAGCGTGCATATCACCCGCACAATTAACACGAATCGTTAATCTCTGCTGCAATCACTCAAAATCGCACATTTTTATGGTCGATATCGATGTCGCATCGCAACGTCCTCATTAAAAAACGAATCGTTAACACAGCATTTGAAGGTCACACGCGTTCATCGCTGACTTTTGATCCTCTTGAAGCATGCATGACACTTGCATTATTCAACAACGGTCTGTTCAATTGCAAATGACTGACATTCGCATGAATACCATTCAGCACTAACATATCAGTCTGCAGTTCTGCTTTTATCTCGACATCACAGGTGACAAATTATGCGAATGCATATTTATCACACAATGTAATGTGAAGCTGT